CCACCCCCCCCCCCCAAAAAAAATCGAAATTTCTTTTTAATTGATAAACCTCTGTTCATCGATTGGAACATCATTTGCACAGTTTTTGATGTTTCGCAATTTTACGTGCAACGTTGTTAGAATATTTTGTAGGTAAATGCGGGACTAAAAAAGTACATGTAACGAAGTGTAAACGAATGCTTCATTAAAAAGTTACTCTTCTTCATCAACAGAGATAACTACTTTTAAACAATGGAGCTAGCTAACTAATCACCATTACTCAGCTTCCATTACATTTTCCAAACGATCTATCGGCTTTTTCATTTGTTTCGTATGAAAATTCGCCACGTTTTCGATTCACTTATTCGCACGAAATTTTGATCCTTATCATTAATTCATTTCGAGTAGATATTTCGACGTTCTACGTTCTTTTTTTCACAGCGAGAAAATGTGATTACTTTCATGGCAGAGGAATTGAATAGGGGATCAGCTTTTATGGGCATCGTTATTTGAAATCGCAACGCAGCTCGTAATATTAAAAAAAATCTATGGCTTTCCCCCGGAATATTGTTGCGGTGTTTCAAAAAAATGAGTGGGTTGCCTTTAACAATGCATTGTTATTGCGAAAACTGTTAGCGAAATAAATGGTTGTGGCGAACGCGTTAATTGGTAAAACAGATTTGATCGAATTGAATATCAATCTATCAACCGTCAAGTTTTTCCCCGGCAAATTGTACGTATTTTAGTTGCTATTCGGTGCGCGCAGATAATGGAAGCATTTTAAAAAATAACGAAACCAACGTAATTTATGGTTTCAGTTATTTTAATAACAGTATATTTTAATAACTCACCATTTAGAAGACTATATGCGTACGTGGATATATTTTTGCAAACTCGAAAACTATCATTCTCATTGACATCTCGTATTGTAATTTATATATATTGTGTATCATAATTTTATTATTATCTTCTGAATTTGAAAAATCACGTAAAAAGACATCAAAATGTAAGAAATTCTTCGATTCTCGTAAGAATTGGATGGCACCGAGAAAAATCATACCAGTGCTCATCACTGTTATTACTTACATTCGTTGAACACCGTTATTGACTTGCTTTCCCGTTCAGTCACTCGGGAGTAAAGGAATCATTACGCGCAACTTTCAAACTGATGATACAAGAGCGCTTCTTCAGTGAAGAGCAATTGCAGCGACTGTTCCTTTCGTGGAACGGTTTCTTCTTTTATTTCTGTTCATGCACTTTCCACTTTGCGCTCTCTATGTTATTTTTCGAATTCTCGCAGAAAGAAAATAATGGCTGTAAGCATTAAAAATCCGTTTGGGACATTTTTCGTGCCGTTCAAAATACACAAAAAATATTTAGGTGTCCCATAGACACAGGGCACCGTGTTAAGACCATCGGCTTGATCGATTTCAAATATTCGTACTCAAGGCAAGATCAAAATTTTCAGAACCACGAATCGTGAAGAATAAGATTTGAATAACATTTTTTTCATTTGTCTTTCTATTAATTTTGCTTAAAATATTATTATTAATATATTAATATTATATATATATATTATATATTATTATTATTATTATTATATTATATATTATATATAGAGAAAATATTAAGCAAAATATTATATAAAATATTATTAAATATAGCATATATTAATATATTAATATTTTGCTTAATATATATATATATATTTTCTCCAGGGCGAACGCCTATGTCTAGCGACTTTTGAGCGGGAGTGTAGGCACGCATATTTATGGTCTCTTCGATAGTACAGCTATTTTCCGTCTCGGCGCGACGGGCGAGCATCGATCAACTTCAATTATTACCAATTAACGACCGTCGCAGCGGCTCGCGTTTCTTTCACGGTGTTTGCTCTTTCGCTGGACCCCGAGAGGAATTTTCCCGGAACAATACCGCGGAACTGCGCAAGAAAAATAACGATGGGCCGAGAGGATCGTGGACGAAGGACGAGCCACTCGGAGAGAGGAGAGGGGGTAGCCACACGATCCAGAAAGGCAAGCAGCGCGAAATCGTCTTCTTGGCTCGCGGGACGAAATTAACTGAATTGGCCGCGCATGAGTGGACCCTCGTGACGTACGGGCCAAAATGAAAGTGAGGATACCGCGGCAAGCCGCCTCGAGTGGAGTTTAAAGTGAGCGAGTCAGCGAACCACAACTGCCCCGCACAAATTTCCCGGTCTGTCTTCTAACAATACATGCAAACGCCGTGGTCCCTTCTTTTCGGCCTGCCCGAGCACGTCCGCGAGTGCCTTCGAGTGTAAACTCTTACCAGGATCGGAATTTCTCGTTTTTCTAATCATTCTCGACGCTTGACGCTTGCAAATGAGCCGTTTATTTTGAAAGTGGCACTTTGTTTTTAAGTCGATATATTTAAGGGTTTGCGTTTTTTAACACGTTTAAAAATATGGATGCTAACTTCCGAGAAGATTCACTTGTATTCATTATCTCAGGATACTGATATTTTTCTCAGTATAAATAGTTTCGTATAAACATTAAAAAATCACCACTTTTCATTACGGTAAAGTGACTTATGCCACTTTCAAAATAAACGGCTCATATTAGTCCCCGCGATTTTTTACCTCCTTCCGATGGTCCGACAAAAAATGTTTCCTATCAAAGTTAATTAGTATTTAACCGGCAAGAAATGGCAATTAAATTTAAAAACAAATTGATTTTCGATAAAAAAAACGAGGTCGCCGTTATATTTTTAAATGAAACTAGGTTATATTAACTTCATAGTATTGTAGGCGATGTCGAGACGAGTTCAACGACCTGGTACATGATAACCTTTAGATGACATTAAAGGAAAATTGCCATGAATCAATTGCCACAATATTTGAAATAATTTGGCGATATTTATTAGAAAGAGCAGCATTTTGCGTTGCGGAAGATGGAATGTAGTTCGAACATTTAATTTAATTATTAATTACATGCACGCTTCTGATACGAGTGTTTTCAATTTGGTTTTATATAGATTTTTCTTTTGTTTTATGTGTCAAGATCTGAAATTGAATAAATGAGCATTTGTAATGTTTACGTTCATGTACGTTCATGTACGGGCTGAAGAATCGTGGGGAAGAATTTGTGACTCACCCTGTATATCTAATTTGGTATAGACGTTGGTTAAGCGATAATGTGCAGAGTCACATATTGTATGTGTTTAGTGTAGATTTCGGACCCCTTGACAATGGCGTGACGAAGAAAAACAATAGTGATTGGGGTTCGAAGCTACAAGACACCGATAAAAGGCGACAATCGGCTGCTAGATTGGCGAATCCGAGTGGGAGATAAATAAGCAATTCATGATTTGAATCGTAGCCTCCGTGCTGCATAATAAACATATATTTGCTAAATATTATATTATAATATTATAACATATTTGCTAAATATTATATTATAATATTATAACATATTTGCTAAATATTATATTATAATATTATAACATATTTGCTAAACATTATATTATAATATTATAACATATTTGCTAAATAACAGTAAGGTGGAACAACAACAAAATGTAGTAAAGAATATCAGTACAAAACAAAAAAAGAAGAACATTGGAAAACTGTTTTTGAAGGGATATTTGTCAACAAGTACTGTGGAATGGCAAATTCTGATAACAAAATATTCAGTCGTTTTTGCGATAGCATAAAATGTATTGTTTCAAGACTAGTGTTTAACTTTCATCTCGGTATTCGATCGAGCCGATTCTTTTTTTGCTTGCAACTGTTGCGAGACACGAATAGGAAATCGATAGTTGCCATAAATAGTTGCGAGCGTATTGTGTAGCACAACAAGGAAGCAAATCTCGACTAAGTAAATTATTTATCATCATCAGATTGTAGATTATAATACAATTTCTCCTCGTTATAATGAAAAATCGTGAAAATGAGATAAAATAGAATGTTATTATCTGCAATAATGGTAGGCTAATACAGGGAACTGCACGTAATACGGAGCGTCAACACATTTTGATGAAGAGATAATGATCTCTGCGGTTAATCGTGTATATTAGTTTCCTCGCGAGGATAGCAGTTTCATTATATTTGAAATAATTATAAGTAGATTATTCCGCGCTTCGTTCTACTAGGTGACAATGGTGCACGAACAACCCTATTTTAAACTTTCGATGTCGACGTTTTATCACTGTGTTAATTCACACCAAGGAATAATCTTATTTAAAGGAAAAACGAGGAATAAATTATGGTTAAACGTAGAATACATTAATTGTTACAAATAGACGATAAATATGAGCCGTTTAATTTGAAAGTGGCATAAGTCACTTTACCGTAATGAAAAGTGATGATCTTTTAATGTTTATACGAAATTATTTATACTGAGGAAAATATCAGTATCCTGAGATAACAAACAGAAGTAAAACTTCTCGAAAGTTAGCATCCATATTTTGAAACGTGTTAAAACGCAAACCCTTAAATATATCGACTTAAAAACAAATTGACTTATGCCACTTTCAAAATGAACGGCTCATATTTTGAAAAATAAATCGTTTCAACCATCCTTCCTTTACACTTTGTACGACTGGCGTCGACGACCATGAAGTTATTAAGAGACGTAACGCAAATAGAGGAAGGGCACAGCTACGCTAGAAACCTCGTCTAGCCTAGACATTGGCATCTATTTCAGTTCCTAGATTCTAGGAACTTCTACAGTTTAAACAGAATATTTTCGCTAACACGTTGAACGTAATAAAAAAAACCATAAAGAACAGCATTTACGATCGGACAACAGAGAAATTGCGAGGGATAAAAGTGATAAACAACCCGATATCCTTTCACAACAACTTAAAATAAGTTGCAAACATTGTGTCGATGCAAAACCTGATCTTTCAATGGTATCTAAAAGCCACCACCCAAATCAGGATTAAAATTTTGCCCGATACGTTTCCCTTGATACTTTCTCGTACGAATTATTGGCTTTATTCGGCTCTGCGGCTAATTTGGAAATACTACCGAAATGTTCAGAAGTAAGTATCGGACTAGTAAACATCGATAAGATACGGTAACAGGTAGTGGAACAATATAAATCGTCGGCTGAAGGACGATGACGAAACCAAAATGACGCGGAAAAATTTTCGGTTGTGCCGCGTAAATATTGACACCGCAAAGAAGTGCCCATCCACACGGAGGATGATAAATAGCGTAGGAACAGAACGGAAAGAAAGTTCGTAATACAGCTCCATCGTATCTCGACCACGATACTACAATTTCCGCCGACTGACTACCGCGTTATATTCCTAGTTCGTTCCCTGCTATCGAATCATTCTTCATTCGCCGACCGATTAATTGTGTCAGCTTCGCACACAATTGGCCATTATTCAATTAAGTTTCCACGCGCATCATAATCAGAGCACGTCCAACACGTCCACGTGTACATCCAGCGAGATCGGAGTAAAAACGACTATGTGACACGATAGAGGTACATATTTACTTTGTTCTTATTTCTACCGGGTGTCTTCAGGAACACCAGCGTTTCTTTCCTAAATCCTAAACCTTACGAATAAACTGAAGAGGAGGACGTTGAAGTACATTTTTTTCTTTTTTTTTTTACCAGCAGCATGATAGTTTTAATATTATTTTACATATCTTTTTACATACTTACTTTGTTCTTATTTCTACTGGGTGTCTCCTAAACCTTACGAATAAACTGAAGAGGAGGACGTTGAAGTACATTTTACCAGCAGTATGATAGTTTTAATATTATTTTACATATCTTTTTACATACTTACTGTGTTCTTATCTCTACTGGGTGTCTCCTAAACCTTACGAATAAACTGAAAAGGAGGAGGCTGAAGTACATTTTACCAGCAATATGATAATTTTAATATTATTTTACAAAGCAAGATGACCTTCGTTTTTTTAAATGGAATGCTGCATATCTTTTTAGATCGTATGAAAGCGGGCATTAAAAGGAGTTCTCTTCCTTATGGAATTCTACCAATCGTTCCTGGTTGTTCAGCATAAATGCACAGAAAATAAAGGAAAAAAGCTTGTTTTACGAAGATAGAGACACTCGCTCGGTCAACGGAAGTCGGTCACATTGAATACGATACGTAGTCTTATCAACCTCCAACTTGCTCACAAATACAATATTACGATTATTATTAACTCGTCTTAACGCCCGCTTTCGTATGACGTAAAAAAAAGGTACGCCTTTGTTTCTAGAAAAATATTAACACTATGCCGTCCGGTGGCACCACGCTGGTGTCATGCAAAAACATGGTACGGTGGTACCACTTTGGTGCCATTTTAACCCTTTGCACTCGAAACCATTTTAGCTGTAAAATAATTTTTCTGACTTATGGTATTTCCATTTTATATGACAAAGTGCATTTTATGCATATGAAATTGAATGTTGCGATAACTTGTGATAACAGTTACACTTTTAACGATTTTTTAAATTTAAACTTCGTTAATATAAAAATTATATCTTAGAACGCGATCTAACAATTTTAGTGGTGCCTCAGAGTCACCACTCGAGTGAAAAGGGTTAGAAAACTGAAATAACATTTGAACTATATTTCTTGGGTGTTAAAAGGCAGCGAACTAACTATAGCATTGTGCTCTTATTTAACTAAGAATTAAGTACGAAAATTCTTGGATGACATATCTTAATTTTAGGAATTTATATTACCGCCATCTTCGAAATTTTGTTTAAAATGTAAAATTTCCAAGCTATTATGCCGGCGTCAAACAAAAGAATCGTATCTAAGATCTGCGGACGGCATGGTGCTAACAATAGAACAAATTCGGGTACGCTGTAATGCTAGTATAACGTATACTACAACTTCCCCCTTTTCCATTGCTCACTCCGAAGAGGGAGAGATTACCGACCGCGCTGATTTTGCATATTCTGTTGGTACAGTGATTCACAGAAGTTTCTCAACGCACAAACGAATCTCAAGAATCATCGGCAACAGGTGCGGAATAATTGCAATTGCATAAGTCTAGACGACGGTGACTAGGATGATTTAATGATACGCTGTGCGGGAACGAGTTATAACGCCGGTCTCCTGGAACATGTCGGCCAGTGCGAAGCCGTTCGTCGTGACCGCGGTTCTTAGGCTGCTCGGATCGTAAGATTATCGCGGGATGACCTAGAATCTCCCACTCTGCTCGGTTCGAATCATCACGTGTCCTCGACAATAGCTGCGTCTCATTCGCTGTACCCGGTCGGCAACGGGCGTCGTCGGTGGTCGTTGTCAGTGGTCGTTGCCAGTGGTAGTTGTCAACAGGTGTTGTCAGCGGAAAGGCCAGCGACGGAAACCATCATCTTCCGCTATAGATGGGGAACAAGACATCCGATTACCCGGACGACACTATGGACGAGTTGGATCAGTTGATCGGCTTGATGACGAAGCGCATGGGCAAGAACTACACCGATGCTAACTACAATCTCGAGTCGCCGAGCGATTCGTTCTTTTTGTCGAGCATGTTCTTCCTGAACATAACCGCGAAGTATGCCAACGAAGACAAGGGGACGAGGAGCATTCGAGTCGTCGTGAAGAGACCGCCGCTGCTGGCGGTCATCCGAGATATGTGGAAGTCCGATAAACAATTCCACAACGAGATATTGTTCTACGAGAAATTCGCGGTCGGCCACGAGGACCTACCTATTTGCTATTACAGCCACGAGAACCCGCCGGTCAAGTCCGTCCTCGTTCTGGAGAACATCGAGGAAAGGGGATATCACCTGTCCTCGTGGAGGTAGATGCTAAGATTAATTGCAGCGACTGCACATTTCTTGACGACGCCCGCGGTCGTCTGGTTCATCTTTAATTAGCGTCCAAGCTTGCCAACGTGTTGCTCGTGTTCGTTTTATATTCCGCTCTGTATGCTTCGATGGCAGTCGTGGTTTATCCTTTGTTTACGTACTCGTAACAGGCCACGGAATTGACTGCATCGTAATGTTTCTCATAATCGAATTACTCGCGGATCTTACCTTACTTTACCTTACCTTACCTTACCTTTGATAAACTAAAAAAGAATGCGAAGGAATAAAGATAAGAATTACGCTCGATTTGTATTAAAATTATGAAGGAAAGGAGGGAATGCCTAGGTGATTTCTGCGTCTTGCAATCGATACGATCAATTTTGCATGAAAATCTGCGGTTCATTAATTACACTGCCCAACACAGATTCTACGTTTCATTAATCAGTAGACGATTCTTACAGATTTGGCGAAAGCGTTTTTCTCCATTAACCTTAGTTTTGGAGTACAACGATTCTACAGTCTCCCAAATGCGGCTGCGTATTTTTTTTTTTAAATAATTATAGACATCTATACGCGTTTGCGACGTTGCGTATCATATTAGACGCTCGCTTAAAATAGCATAATACTGGAAGCATTTTTTAACACAAGCACAAGTACATATTAAACTTCTATAACAAATGAAACGGTGTTAATTGCCGATAAACTGTACAATGAAAAAAATCATTGGAAATAATAAGTAACAGATGCAGATACAACTAACAGATCTACATGCTAGATCAGAATTTTTTGAGACAATTTAACGAAACTGGAATTAGATGGAACTTCATTTCTCAAACGATGAATGAAATTCATTTTAAATTCTTCAGAAATATTGTCTTGAGTTTCGTGCATTCGTGTTCATCGTAAATGCATGAAATTCTCGATTATAGTCGGTAAAGAGAGCGTTGAAACTGGTCGTTTTAAATCTTTTCACTCGCGGAAGAAAATATAAAACGCTGAGACACTGGAAAAATTAATCTCTTTAAACGAAATATGATAAAAGATCCTATTGATACAGATTTTCCGGAACGAAAATGATTCATTTTGAAAATAGCACAATTATCGGCAGTTTTGGGAGAGAACATCCAAGTGCAAAGGGTTAATATGTCACAGCTCTGAGTACATATATTACTACATAGAATAGCTCATAGAATTATCCTAAAATATTCGAAACCGGAACCAGACACTTTGCAGACTGTTGTAACTAGAGTAATGTCTCTTTAATTGACGCTCAGATTGTCCACAAAAATGGACAATTGGAGAGGAGATACGGAGATACGGAGATACATGGCAAGAGGAGATACGATTATTCAAGCCCGACGGTTCGTTTTCATAGCTACGAATTGTTGAGAACAATAAAAACGAGCCGCAAGGCTCGAATAATCGTATCTCCTGTTCCCAAAATTGTCCATTTTTGTGCGCAATCCGAGCGTCGGTTAGGGAGACATCACTGTAATCGGTAAGTTCAAATGAACTTGCTGCAGAAGTAACCGATACAACGACATTCCAGGTACAACGTCCCCATGGACTACACGATAGCCGCGATCCAAGAAAACGCGCGGTTCCACGCGAAAGGCTACGCGATGAGAGAGCATCGACGAGCAGAATTCTTGGACTTCGTCGGGAACATGGAGGAAACGAGATTCGACGACGATTTGAACGGTTTGTTGCCTGTAGTGAACGGTGCGGCAACTAGGAGCGTCGATTGTCTGCGCAAGCAGGGCCACGAGAAGGACTTCTGCGACAAACTGTTCGCATACCTAGATGATATGTTCAACGCGATGATGAAGTGCGCCGAACCAGAGGAGCCGCTCGCGACGCTCTGCCACGGCGACTTCACGTTGAACAACACCTTCTTCAAGGAAGAAAACGGAAAAGTGAAAGCTATGTTCATCGATTTCGCGCTGATGCGTTACGGATCGCCGGTGATCGATCTGTCCTGCTACCTGAGCCTGCACTGCGCCGAGGAACTCGACAAGGACATGCTCGAAAGTGTCCTTAAAGCGTACAACGACTCGCTGATCCCGTGTCTGAAGGAGAACAACGTGGACAATCTCGAACGTTTTTCGTACGAGGCTCTGTGCGACGACTACAAGAAGAACGGTCTGTTCGGTTACGCGATCGCGTCCTTTTTCTTGTCAACGGTCATGGGAAAATGCGAACTGACTCCCGAGGATATGGCGGACATGACTCCTGCCGAAAAGGCACACCTCGCGCGAACGCTTGGCGGAGAGGAGGTCGACGAGATCCTGGCCAAACTGCTGCTCAACCTGATGGAATTCGGCTGTTTGGCTGATTTGGTTTGAGTTAAATATTTAACTTAGAACTAGAACTTTGACTTTTTTAGCTAGTAACTATGACTTTCTGATCAGCCTCTGTACGATGCTACAATCGGAAGAGCTTCGGTTAATGGTAGAGGAGAGGTTGGAACAATCGTATCTCCTCTTCCCAAATTGTCTATTTTTGTTCACAAGCTGAAGGACAATTGGGAAGAATTTACTGTACTCGGCGTCGTACATCTTAGCTCCCAATTTTTATTTTATTACATAAATTAGTTCGATTCTGTGCAGCTTTCGAGGACGACGAGTTGATACTCCTTGTCGTACTTTAACGAGTACAATCCGCGATGGAGATTTCCGTTTCTTTGAGTGAGAATAATATTCTGTTCCCTTGTCATCGATGATTAAGCGCTCGAGTAAATTTATGCGCACAATAAATATAAATTATCTTTTTGTTCTTGGGAATGATTCGAATCGAGAAAGTTCCGATCGTTCGAACTGTGAGAAAAATTGTACGACAAGGGGTTCGATAATTTTATTAAAATTAACGAGAAATTTTAATAAAAATAATGAGGAAGCTGTATCCATCAGAACTGAAGAACGCATTGTTACCGTTAGGTTGAACAACGTAGAATACTCCTATAAACGTTTTATGTATTAGTTGAGAGACTGTATGAATTTAGTTAAGCAGCATTAATTTAATAATGCTTTCTTCGTGAGAAGTAGGATAAAATTTAGTAAAATGAAGCTATATTATTTTTCTGCCGTTAGACGATTATGTTGTCCTTCCCGAAAGAATTGTTGTTATTATACTATTATAGATCGTGGATCTTCAGTGGACATAAATACGTTTTACTTGATTCGCAAGAATCGGATGTTAAATGGGAAATTTACTTTCCTAATAACTTTATAGTTAACGCGTTATAGTTTAGTTTAGTTATAGTTTAGTTTAGTTTTTATTTTTTAACGTTATAGAGTTAACGTTATAGTTTTATATTTCTCTTACTCGGTTTTGTCACGAATACATAAAAATCCGCTACGTAGCTGTCACTCGTAAATTATACAAATTAATTTTAAGCGTTAGTTGTAAATATGCGTTGAAAATGATATTTTTTAATCCGCGGTTTTGTATAAGACGACTGTGTAATCGCGATTCGTTTAGGATTAATCGTTTAAGATTAATTTCTCGCGAGTCGATGAGGCGGGCACGATTTCTGAGCTATCTACGAACTGCGTTATAACGCGTCTTCTGCCAAAATCAGGTATTAGGGGACGAACGTATTAGTGAGATTAGGGTCGACCGGTTTTCGCAAGTGGTGACAGGGTGACGGGGAGGATCAACGACCTTGAATGCATCAACGAGCCTGAACTCTGTTGTAGTAGACGCTTACTTACATCGTGCATGCATCGAAATTCAGATTCAATTTTCGTGGAAGACGCGGAACATGCAAGGTGGTGTACCTAATATTTACGTTCCAGCAAAAACATCAAATTCGCGGTGTAATAAACTGTACAGCATATTTAAAGATTACGCAAATATGATAGGTAACCGAAAATAAATACATGAATACGATAATTTTTGTACCCACTATACGGACAAATGTGAATTCTGCAAATGCAGTTTTATCGTAGCAGTGTAAAAATATAAGTTGCGAATTGTATTCGCAAATGAACTACTGCTCGATTAAATTGAATTACCAGTTACCGAATCTGTTTCAAAGTGCCTGAAATTCGATCACAAAATCCTAATATTAACAATTGAGCCGTTTATTTCGAATGTGGCATAAGTCACTTTGTTTTTAAGTCGATATATTTAAGGGTTTGCGTTTTAACACGTTTCAAAATATGGATGCTAACTTTCGAGAAGATTCACTTGTATTCGTTATCTCAGGATACTGATATTTTTCTCAGTATAAATCATTTCGTATAAACATTAAAAAATCACCACTTTTCATTATGGTAAAGTGACTTATGCCACTTTCAAAATAAATGGCTCAATTGTTGCATTGTTCTACATTTTTCAATATTCATCAATTATTCTTTATTCAAGCTTCTTTTCAATATTACAATTTTACAGATTCAGACTCGTGAAAAATGATTCATAAGAATAAAATAAACTTGTATCATGCATCCTGATTAGCATTATTACATAAAGATCACCGTTTCGCAACTTCTTCGCAACTTGTGGCAATGCATCAACTTTTAATACGCAACAAAGTGCTAATATCAACGCGATAAAACATCTTCAGTTCCGTTTACATTTACTTATCGATTGCTTCATCAAGAAGAAAGTGATTCAACTCTATTCACATATTAAACTATCCGATAACGGTAGATACTGCAACCTAATAATTTAGCAACTATTATCTTGGTAAATAATTAATAAATTTACCGTGAATCTATAACACTGTTGTTCGAAAGAAAAACATTTTAAAGACGATGTTCCCTATATGTTTCAGGAACATATGAGCCGTTTATTTTGAAAGTGGCATAAGTCACTTTGTTTTTAAGTCGATATATTTAACGGTTTGCGTTTTAACACGTTTAAAAATATGGATACTAACTTTCGAGAAGATTTACTTGTATTTGTTATCTCAGGATACTGATATTTTTCCCAGTATAAATAATTTCGTATAAACATTAAACAAATCACCACTTTTCATTACGGTAAAGTGACTTATGCCACTTTCAAAATAAACGGCTCATATAGGAAAAATAAACCGATTTTTCCAGCTGACAAATGCGAATAGTTTCTGAAAAATCCTTTTAAAAATTCCAAAGGAATGAAAACGAAATGAATACCCAGTGTAACAACAGAGCGATGCTTTTATTCTGCTCACGTAGCTCATCGCCTCATTTCGGGTGTATGTTATTCAAGTTGTATCAGAGGTTACGGGACACCATGTGCATGCCGCGAAATAAAACTCGTCGGCGCGGCGCGGCGCGGCGGCTGTGCGGCGCGCCGAGACGATGCGCGAAATTATTCTTTCGCCTATGCAAGTACGGATCTGCCTTTCAAATAGAGGTACTCCGGCCGCGCAGAAAAACTTTGTCATTTCCATATATTTTCCCAGACTGGCAGCAACGTCTCCCGGGAAATTCACTTACGGTCTAACCTGAATTTTAAACCCGTTAAATTTTGCTCGTCGCGGGCGGCGTTCGCGCGAGGAGGCCGCGCCGCGATCGCTGTTTCCCGGAAACAGGTAAACGCGGCGTGAAAGTTCTTCGTAAACGGTCGATCTGCCGGAAAATATTTCGCACGCTTCGATTTTCCACGGGGCTCGCGAACACGGAACGGGGAATCGCGTCGGATGATCGCGAAATGGAGCGTGGATCAGAGTGGAATTGTGGTTAATGCGAGAACACGAGGCTCCACTCGGTGTTATGGTTAACCGTAAAACGACCCGGCGCGGTGTTTTCACGGAATATTTAACTGTGCGAAGATCTCCGCGCTTGTGTATTTAATGGAAATACTGGCGGCGGAAAATCGCTGCCTCTTTTCAAATTACGGTCGAACCACGTTCATCCGAACGCGTCGAGAAACGAGCCGGTTCGAATAACCATGCTGTTCCGATAATAGAGGCTCGCTAGTTATCCCACGCACCGTGTTTCAATTCTTTCGAATAATCGAGGTTGCGGATCGGATGACTTGGGTTCAGATGTTTATGGCTGACAATGAGAGAAGATAGATATAGTTACAATTTAACCGTTGGACATCCGTGATTCAACATCAATCAAAATGAAAAACGATTTTCATTATTTTTAATGTTGTCATTAACCGCTTTGCTGCCGTGGACGTGTTATGTCGCGACGTATTGCCGCTTATGCGGTACCACGGACGCGTTATCCCGCGACGTAATGCCGCTTGTGCGGTGCCACGGACGCGTTATCCCGCGACGCAATACCGTTCGTGGCACCGCACGAACGTATTATACGATATACAAATAATGGGATCAAGATACATAACGTCACGAACTGTATCACTGTTTAAATGATGATATGAACTCATTAGTCTATGAGTGCAGCTGAGGTAATTACGTAGCGAAATTATTCGGTGCAATATCACAGGCAGGCGATCTCTAGAATAAAATGATCGTGATTTTCCAAATGGAATCATTAGCAGGTATTTGCCAAGCATACGATACATTGCATAGCGTTTTGCAGCGTTTGCCGATACGCTAAGAGTTTCTAAATTTGTACAGGTGTTGACGATACAGCCTACCTATATTCGCATGCTTGTTTAAAACGCGATTCTCACGTATCTGTGAATTTCTTTCTCACTGTCGCGAGCATATAATTCTTATCAGCCCGTAGAAGGAAATTTAATTCGCAAACATTTTTATCGAAAGTAATTCTGAATCCTACGCTCGACAAAGAAATCGGTGATAAATGCTAGAAATGAAGCACGTAAATTATAACAGAGTTATCGGAAATCTGTCTATAAAATGTTTGAAGAGTTCACGCAGTGTCACTGACGTCGTGTGAATAATTCTTCGTCGGTTTGATCGACACGTGTCACTTCTACGAACGCGAAATTGTGTAAAATACGAATCCTGGATTGTGGGCACGGATTTACGAGACTGGCGGAATGTTTATGCAACTGCAACTGCGATAAGAATATTTGTTGAAATGGAAACTATGCAAATAATAGGATTGATAATTGATAATCAGTTAATAGTTGCAATCTTTCTGCGTAGAAAAATCTGTAAATTTCTGTAATTACATTGTATGCGATTAATTTCTTCATATTTTGTCTAAATGCAATCCTTTCATAAAATATATAATTTCATAAAGAACATCAAAATATATCTATATCCTTCTCGACCAGTCAGCTATTTCTGACGAGTATACTCGTCACGAAGAAATGGCAACATTTTGTGATAGGACGAGTATTCTTGTCGAAAACAGCTAACAGTTAACAATGAATTCATTGGCCGATTAAGGAGCCGACAACATCGACTAGCGAAATGCATAAACGATTCAGGCTGTCAGTGAAATTACTGCTGATTTATTCAGTCTCGATCTATGTTACAATTACCCCCTTAACCGAATTCTGTTTACTGTTTTATTTAGTTCTATGCTACGATGTAATGCAATTAAACGGAAAGTGACACGAACGGACGGCAACTAGGCGGAGCGGACATTTGAGGGCTCTGGCCCGTCAATCCCGAAATTACATACCGTTTTCGTAATTGGTACGTCGCCGGACGGAACCGTGAAAACCAACTCATCAAACGCGCGATCGAACATTATTGCGAACGCTGTTCAGCCCGGTTCTTGTTTTAAATCACGAAATTAGCGCAGCCGGAAATAGTATACTTGATTAAATCGGTCAGATGGTGTCGCCTAGTATCGGACTCTATTCAGCTCTCCAGATTAGTTTCCGAATAGCTCCCCTAATACAAGCACCTTAATTTTCAAGCAAATCAAGCCCTTTTTCCCACTATCGTAAAAATTGGACTTTCGTATAATATCGTGCAAAAAATTAAATACAATATGTGACTTTATTGTAAAAAGATAAAGCGAAGAAATAGTAATTATGTCATTACAACCTAAAATAAAACCCATATTTTTGTTGCTAGTAAACAAATGGTAAGTTGTGGTACCACTTCTTTGTGAGAAAGTGATTTACGCGATATGACGTCCCAAAAATGCCTTTGGGACCTCCCTGAAGTCATTTGAAGTAACTTTTTCCTTAGCAAAAATGCAATCCGCGGCTTCGTTTACGAGTTATTAACGAAAAACAGTAACTAATGAGAGACGAGGTCAGCTGGCGCGAGGCGGCGGAGCCAATGAGCGGAACTGGGCTTCGAGCGCTCGTTGGCTCGGCCGCTCCATTGCCTCGGCCGCTCATTGGCTTGGCCGCTCGTTAGCTCGGCCGCTCATTGGCTCGGCCACTCGGCTCGGCCGCCTCGCGGCAGCTGAGCTCGCATCTCATTGATCAGTGTTTTTCGTTAATAACTCGTAAAGGAAACCACGGATTGCATTTTCGCTAAGGAGAAAGTTACTTCAAATGACGTCAGGAACCCCTCCCTCCCCCTATCCGCGCTGCAAAACATTTTTGGGACATCTTGCATATTAAAGGAACTTACTCGATACTAAATTCTTCAGCATTTTTCACAGTTGCACTGGAAAAATGCATGATGAATTCTAGGAATAAAATTTCAGCAAATCTAACGTGTCCTTCTTTTTCTCTGCAAAAATAGAACGCACGGATGGATTTATGTAAATATTTCCTGTAGTGTATATTTCAACTGCACTAGGTGACCTGCCACACCGAGCACGCTGAATATTTAATATCACAAACACAATATCCCGAAAAATTTTAGTTTTATAAAAAATATTGAAGTATTTTCCACGTTCATAGCGTAACCACTGAATGGTTTCTTTTTGCTACTTTATTTGATAGATGATTCATATCGTCACGTTCTATCGAGCTCCTTAACGTCACACGCGCACGTAGATGTATCATAACTCAACTGCAACGTTTCGGAATAAGCTCTGAACCAATTGCTCTAAAAATCATACGAAAACTAATACAACAAATTCAGTCTATTCTAAATTTTTCACAACGAGAATACGCTAATCTAATAAATAAATAACTATATATTTCAAAGGTATGCAATATTATATTATATAATTATAACAAATTAATGATTTTTCTATATTTGCTAGAGGCGCGTGATAAAATAAATAGAACAAGAC